ATATGGCAAGAATAGTCAAAACCACGTTATCCTGGCCTACTTCTTGACACTTGCATATTGTATGATTAATTATCTAAACAATTTATTTGGATCGGTCTAGTTTAAAGTGACTCATTATTTTTGCATAAATTTGAGGACTTTATTTACAAAGGTTAGACTATCTGATTTATGTCAAATATATACCATTTTGCTCGATAATGTCTCTCTCCCTTGTTCCTATGGGCAAAAAGTTGGTACAATCGATTTTCACAGGCTTCTCTTGATGTCAATCCTTCACCAGCTGAACCATTCGCCATAGATTGTAATTATTTGGTGCGTGGTTTGTACTACAAGGCAGATGCATCAGAACCTCCCAACCGTGGTCTCTGGTCTTCTGCCGAGTTACAATCGATGTGTGTTGTCTGGCGTTGACTTGTGTTGAAACGCAATTCCGCTCCTTATGGCCAAAGCTGTGCGCTTCTGGTCAATGGCACCCTTCAGATAGTTCAAATGCTATTAGTATAGGTTCAAATTAAGAACCTGGTAGTAGGAAAACAGCTCCTAGTATATGAGTCCTTTCCCATGCCACCAAACACATAACAAAACCTTCCTGGCCGTCAATACTGTCTTGGAAACCATTTGTGCCGCCTCCTTGCCATTTCGATTGGCTTTGCTGTAAATATTCTACTTTTTAAAACCAATCCGCTTCAGAAACGGTTCGAGTTTGTTCCGATTAAATAGCGATTTGTAGATGGAAAGTCATGAGGTTTTCTCTCTTTGACTCATGTAGCACCCATACATCGATTTTCTTTATGTAGCCAGCCTTTCTCAATTGGCTCTTTACTGTTTTGGGAACTAAACAGTACTAACGTGACAATCCAACTTGACAATTTAAATTATTTTACCAGCACTTTCGACAACTGGCCTTCCACACCGTAGATTTACATCAAAATTATCGTAACGAAATCGACGAAACCAAAATTGTGCATGATGGCTGTTACAGTATCAACACTTTCAGCTGCTGACTTCTTTTGTAAATAATATTATCTTTCTAACGCCAACTAGCGTAATCCTATCGCTCTTATATATTGCTAGTTATGGATCACTTCTAAAGCTTTTTATTGCAAGAATAATGGATCACTTTTTACTAGACCAAAATAGGTATGTTAAAAATGATTGAAAACCACAATCATTAATGATACCAATTAAAACTAATTTTGAATTCATAAAATGTATTAACTGGAAAAGATAAAAAAATATTTATTTATAGTATTTAACAAATATAAAAAGAAACCATTTCAGAATTTCAATCCAAATGATGTGTGCGCGCTTTATTAGAATTAAATAAAATACATTTTATGATACGTGCATAGCCCTAATAAAAACAAATTAAAAATTATAAACGCAAATAACAAAAACAAATTAAAAATTATAAACGCAAATAAATTTGCGCTAACAAATAATTTTCTGAATAAATTGTATTTATTTGTTTATTTTATAAATGATTTTGAATTGATTTTTTATTAAAAAAGAAATTTATTATAATTTAAAAGAAAAATCACTAAAATGGCATTTCAATATATACAAATATAAACCAAACTAATTGAAATTATACTATAAATTATTCTAAAAGTACACACTTATTGTATTTCTATCTATGTATGTGAATGTGTTGGTGTAGCCGTCATCCAAATGCTCACAAATTAATTGGCATTTCAATTGATAACTTTCAATTAAACTAAAATAGGTCGAATTAAGTTTTTCACTCAACGCATTTGCCAACGACAATTATCGAAAAGCTAACAATATAACAAAAATCCAATATTAATATATTTTTTGCGTTCCTCTACGCTTCACTTTTAATTGAGTTTGATGTTTTTCTAAATGCGATGCAAATAATGTGAGTCCAATTCACTAGAAATGTCAGGAGAGTTTCATTCTTTTTTTTTTTTTGAGAAATATTTGAAAATGGTCTTGTGTAACTGTCAAAAGGGGTGAAGGATAAACCTCTGTTGGCTTATTTCTACATTTAAGCGACTTGAGTAATTTTGATATCAGAACTCGAAAACAGATTTTAAAATATTTTCGCAGTGACGTTATTTTGCAACTTTTGAGAAAAAATCTACAATTCGCCTTTCTTCTAACTTTCGCTGAGGTACACCATTCACTGAAATTTTTGATATTCACATCTTCCACTCTCAGTCTTGGTTTGAGCATAATACAATGAGCTCTTCTACCATAATATCTCTGAAGAGTTACTTGAGTTTCACATACTCCAAAAGTCTTTTTTATTGTATTTTTAATTTCTACAACATCTTAAGAAATTATCTTAAATTTCCAAGTTAATCCGTTGAAAAGTTTTGGAGATAAAGCCTTGGAAAGATACGCATTCAAAGGCTAGTATGCTCAGCGCTCAGAACTTTGCGCGTGCTCTTCACGAAAGTTGTTTTTAAGAGTTGGTTTTCAAAGTTCTGGAAAACAACTCAACAAATTTTGGTGAAATTTTACACAGATCTTCGATACAGTATATAACTAACTATTAAAAACAAAAAATTTCGGATAATTTGTACCAAAAATTTGGATTTTGTTTTTTGAAAACCCTGCCAAAAATCGAATTTCCACTTTTTTCTTTTACTTCATCAAAATTCTAGTTAATAGTACTAACTTAAAAATGATATTTTTACTTCGGATGTTCATCCCATAAATTTTACTGTTATGAATTCTGCTGTCTACACTGTCACATCTTTCAGTATAGACGTCAGCATTGCAAAGTTGAGAATATTTTTTTTTTGAAAATCTCATAAATTATTTTTCCAGTTAAAAACCATTTTTTTATTTATACAAAAAAAAAAAAAAATGAAAAAACAATTTTCCTTGACAATAAGCCTTTTAAGAGAGCAAAGGCTGAGTAAGAGAAAAAGTGTCTGCGTAAAAAAAATGGGAATGTATGGCAAGTGGAAAGACGACTGTGCATATAAGATGTAATGGCAGAATCGATATGAAGAATAATAGGAAGTTAATGTTTTGTGCATGGAAGAAAAGCAAAATTATTTAATATTTATTTATTTTGTCTTATTTACGTTACCTTCGTCGCCCTGTTTAATGCAGGCCACCATACAGCCACCGCATAGCAAAGTATTAATCTCACAACAGATAAAAAGATCTAGCGACAATTCTTAGGGCTTAAACCCAACACATTTCTAATCAATGCCTTCTTTACATGCATAGAGAGCGATGGAAGGTTTTTGCATTTTTCCTTACTATGTTGGCTTTGCAGTTCAGCTTCTGGCCCAAAACTACCCTCCGAAATTTCGCCTCACTTCTGAATCTTAGACCAATCACATTTGTAGTTGGCGGGTTATTGTCGATACTTTAAACCTCTTGGTGAAAAACTCGCCCACTTCATTTAAGTTTACTTTGCGTAGAGTCCTAAGGGGTATTCAACAATTTTAGTTTATTCCCAATCAATCCTGTCAATAGCGAGTTAACCATAAAAATCCAGAGTAAGGACCCTGCGGTGGTTGACTCTTCAAATCTATGCTTTGAGTGGCTCAAAAATGCAGTTGCTTCAGTCAATGTGTAAGAGCTCGCATTGTCATGGTGAAGAGTGCTTCGTCTTCTGCGAATAGTTTTCCTGATTTCTTATAAGACAATTGGTAAGCAAATGGTTATGTATCACTCAGAACTTACCATCCTACTTTGTTCTAGCGATAAGGTTTCGATATATCTAGTTTTTTTTTAATAAACTAAGCAACCATTTGCTTGAAAGTGCTACATGTGGCAACAACTGTTGTTGGATTTTGTTCACCTTTAAACACTCCTACTGTTGGCTGCTTTTTACTTTCGGGCTCGTATGCGTAAATCCACGTTTCATCACCTGTCATGATTCACAGACGTGTTTCGATGCACTGTTGCTAGCGCTGGTTTTCTTTTTTTCTTGGAGCAATTGACAAATTGTGTGGCATCCAACGAAAAGAAAGCTCATATATTATTGAATATTCGACGAAATTATTTTAATGGCTAAATTTGCTTGATATTTAGAACATAAATGGGCATTTCGTAAACATGCCAAAATTGAGTAAACATGTAAGAATTGAAAAGTTCATTAATATATATATAATTAAAAATCTTATCAGAATCGTTTTGAAATTCCATGCGAAGGAGGCCTCGTGCAAAATTTACTTTATTAAAAAAATAAATGCCATTTTATGGAGCGTTGGCTCGTTGAAGAAACATATTTTCCCTACACGCATTGCTCTGAAAGATAATCTTAGTCCAATTGTTGTTCTTTCTATTGCTTTCTCTTTTGTATTACATTTCGGTAACAATTAATAAACCATTAAATTGTAATCAATATATAATTATTTCAAATTACAACATTCACGCATGTTATTACATTTCAGAAGAAAAAATTTTTTACGCCACTTGCCATTCAACATAAAAACACAGGAAATGCACGAAAAGAAAATTGGTCAATATTTGTTACATATGTAAATACATTTTACTACGCAATCAATGTTGATCATACGCCATGGAGGTCGGTTTGCCGTATGGAGTGCACTGCAATATTGAATGTACATGAGTGATGGATTATCAGCACATACCCATTCGCATAGACAGCCATACATATATTTATATATAATCACACACAAATAATTTGTAGCAATTTTCGACTTCATGGATATGACTTTAATATGGCTCCGCTGCTATTAAAGAAAGAAAGGGGAAAACAAATTTTTTCAGCCATAATTAATTTAAACTCCAATGTAAATTTGTTCTTCTGCAGAATTTTCACTCGATATTTAAAGCAAAAAGTCATTTATTTTATTTTATTCGTTTTTTCTTACTTACTTTTATTATTATTTTTATTTAATTTTTTTTTAATTTATCTTTTTTCGCAAGCGCGTATTAATACACTTGAATTCACATGTGTAATTGAATTTTTATTACGTATCTAAGTATGTATGTGCCAGTATATTTACATTTTTATTCATTCTCTTTTTCGCCTGTTTCTTTGGCAGATAAATAAAAACTCCCAAGCCCCATCGAAGAGCAGCAATGGCGAACGTAAGCGTTGGATTCACGATCCTACAAGTGAGTATGCATATATAAAAATATATTATATACGTGTATGTATGTCCATGTGTACGAGTACTAGTATATATACATATGCATACTTCATAAATCTGTATGTATGTATCCATGTGTGCGTTGCTAAATTTCTTCATTTTTTTCCACACATATGCATAGTCGTGAAGCCAGCAGGTGACCGCGATTTATTGCACATCCCTTCATTTCATTCCCAAGCGTGCATACATACAACATATATACATATATATGTACAATACTTACGTACACTCGTACGCCAACAACACAAGTGGCACATAAAGTGTTGGGAAGGAAAATGAAATTGAAAATGCTTGAAAAATGCAGCTGATGTACACACGCACATATGTACGTATATACATGTACGTATGCATGCACACGTGTGTGTTTAAACCTTCATTTACGATAGTACACATGCATACACTTACAAACATACACATAAGGGACTCATAAGCTCACTTGAAGGATTAAAAAATATTTATTTAAAGTGTGATGCTTAAATGATGCTTATTTATATGTATTTCATGGTAACGTATGTGTGTATGTATGAACATATGTATAATATTTTTAATTAAATTAACTTGGTAGCGTAACGGTGCAATTTAAGCGAAATTTGTAATAGCATTTCACTCTATTAAAAATTAAATTAATTTAATATACAACGAAAATCCACACAAGAGAGTAAAAGTCAGAGACAACTTAGCCGACGGCTCGTTATTTGAAATTTTTCGAAACCAAAAAATTTGTTTCAATAATGATAGCGACATCGTAGATGTTACGAGCAAAAATTTTTTGTCTTTATCTCAGGTATTGGTGGCTAACGATTTGAGAATTTCGTTGTAGCTTAGTGGCTACTGCAGTGGTATACAACAATGGTATTCCAGCAGTTTTCTTTCGAACAGTCATCGGCTTATGAAATCAAAGAAACCTCTCTAGCGGAGGAGGGAGTCTCGAATTGTCAAAATCTAACAGAAGCAAAGGAGGAAACCGCCGGACCTTAGAAGTTTTACTTCGAAACTCTACCGATTGCTTTCGACTGCTCAGGTAGTACGTAGAATTACTCAGAGAATATGACGTGCATTAGCACCCCTTATCTACTACAATTTCGAAATCATTTTTCAATTAGCTAAACATCGTTTCTCATTCAAAAATATTCAATATTAGCTTAACAAATGTGGGTTATTTAAGAAGGAAGTGCATAGATAACTTCAACTTCCCTTCTGGGCATCTTCTGCTGTAGTAATGTCCACCCAGCACTACTATGCGTGTGACTTCTGATTTTAGGTAGGTCGGTAGTAGTGCCTCAGGCTCAATTAGCGCTAAATAGGCTATTTCAAAACACTATCGTAAGACTTTAAGATTCCTGCTATCACATTTGGTTCCTATTTTGGATGATAGTGTAGGTGGAGAATCGTAAGCAACGGCAAAATAGACTATTTCCATAATCCTTTTTGGATCGCAATTGCGAGATTGCTCTTCCATGTTAGAACAATTTTAAATATGCGCCTTCCAAAGAGCTAAAAGTTTATATATACTATATTTATATTTACTTTTTTTTTAAAATTCATAGATTCTTAGCTCTTGTACTGTCATACTTTCATACTGGACCTTGTTAAAATTGTAATGGAAGCTCTGCCTTGATAATTTCTAACGTGAATTGTTAACTGAGTTTCGGATTCGTGAAGAGAAGCACCCAACTTAACCAACTCGTTAGCTTTTACGTTAAAGCTAGCATTCATGACATTGACAGGACATAAAGTTTTTCCGACCCTTCGAGAACTCAAAATGATATTGACAGTACTCACCTCTCCAGCAGAAGAGCACCATTTGTTCACCTGTTTGTGCTCTGTCGAGGGACAAAGATATATTCATTATATTATATAAGGTTTTGTGGTGCGTACTATGTAAGAGATTGACCTCCACCATAAAATAAATGATTACACCTTAACAATGTGTCTTATGATATGTCAAATATACCATTGACCATGCGCTATATTCTCAAAAATAGCCCTGTGAAAAACTAGTTTAAAAGCTACCGCAAAATTTGAGTTTGGTTTTTATGAAAAATTTGTACGACTAGACAAACTAATGCTGAGCAGCACCAAAATTTCTTCGAGAAATTCGATACTAAACGAGGTGCTAGGCAGGGTAACCCTTCTTCTTCTTTAACATAATAATAAGAACTGCAGAACTAATTAGAGAAGACACAATCTTCTATAAGAGCAGCTGCTGGCATATGTCTCCAAAAAGGCACTTACGAAGATAAGGGAACGAATATATCTTTTCGACGACATAACAGTCATAACTTTTAGGTGGTAGAAAATTTTGTCTTTATTGAAACAGTATTAAGACCAATCAACCAATGTCAGCCTGTAAATCTAACGCAGAATTATTTATGTCAAAACATGCTACTTTGGAATGAAATGGTAATTGATAAGTGAAGTCCTCTCTCAAAAAAACAAAGAACAAACTCTTCAATTCACTCTTCAATTTCGTTCTGCTGTAAGGTGCGGAGGCATAGACGATAACAAAATCTGATGAGGAGGCGTTAGGAGTTTTCGGGAGAAATGTTTTAAGTAGGGTGTATGGTTCTTTGTGCATTGGCAACGGCGAGTACCATAGTCCTACTTTTCAATTGCCTACTCAGTCCGAACTAGCACCTGTTGGTTTTAATACTGGTTCCAAGATAGACGAACTTATTAATGTTTGCCTTACCCGGTCCAAAGCCGTCCTTATAAGATCTGATCAGTTTGTTGAGAGTGGGCTTTAGTCTTTCACACAATTCGCTTGAAAGCACCTTATACACAACATTAAATAGGCTTATCCCACTATAATTGGCACAGACTGTGGTGTCCCCTCTTTGGATTGGGCAGAGCACACTTAAATTCCAATGCTGTTGTTGTTGTAACCGCAAAAATATTAAACAAAGTACTTTTTGGGGAATGTTGCGGGAGTGACAGTCCTTGGCCGGATAAAAATCCGGGTCGTTCCGGTATAAAGATCCGACTGTGGCGGGAACTTTTCTTACGACAGGCATGCCATATTCTGCATCTTGTTAGCTCTTCTCCGCCATATTTGTAGAGTTCTGCCGGTAGGCCGTCAGCTGCAGCGGTAGTGTTGTTTTTTAAGCGGGCGATTGCAATCCGAATTTCTTCCAAGTCATATAATGGAACGTCTTTACCATGGCCATCGATTGGCGTTTTGGGTTCACCATCGGCCCCTTTCTTTTGTGTCTGCAGATGAGTCTTGCTTCCCTCTTCAGTTCTCGGTATCAAGCCAATTCTGCAGGTATTGTTGTCGATCGCAACGTTGTGAGATAGGCGGCCTGCTTTCTCTTCCCCGCGACACGGCAGTCCTCATATATACCGAGTTGATGAAGAGTGCTCTTAGAGAGCAGAAGTATAACTAGAGTAGAAAACTCGGAGTATACGTGTGTCAAGACATGTCTTCCGTCTTTCACAAAATGATCGATCAGGTTACGTGTTTTTCGACCAGGGGGCAGCCAAGTAGCTTGATTTATTTTCTTTTGCTGGAATCTAGTATTGCCGATAAACAAAAGCTCGGCGAACGAAAAACGAACTAGATTAGCGATGTATACCCAAAAAGAATAATGAAAATTCTGATATGCGCACACTAGAAGGCATTGAGCGTCCCTAGAGATTCTGCTGTGACACGAAAGCCATATGAAGTTTATTTTGAGTTAACTCGACTAACCAGAGAGTACGCTTCATAGTAGCAGTCTATGTTTCAATACAACTGCAGTAGTATGATAGCTCGAACCAGATATCGATGCTTCATTCTAAACTTCATCAGCTAATCGCCCGTTTAAGCTTATATCCATACAAAAACGGTTTAGTAATAAGAACGCTGTTGAAAAAACGGAAGTGAAGAACTTGAGAATTTGAAAGTGTATCCCATGATAATAAGAATAAATGAATGATGATGATATGAAAAATTCCACCTTTGTTGAGCCGATTTCCATTTAACATCTAGCCTAAGCAGGCACTCAAAAAACCTGCCATCAATATAACGGATGTCTTCAGTTAACTGTTTGGTTACATTCGGAAAACCCTATAGGATTGCCATAGTCACGTTAGTTTTAACATCCCACTATATATATTTACATTTAATTTGTAAAAGATGGCAAAATTAAATTACAGAAGTTATTTGTACTGAGAAGCGAAGCAGGAGAGGACGGGGAAGGACACGTTGCTCCTGCAAACTACACGCACATGCGAACCTTTCAGGTGATGGCACCAAAATAATGTAATAAGAACCACTCATTATATGAAATTAACTTCATTTGTAGACCTTTAGGTATATAATAAGATAAATATGTATACAAATACAAATACATAAATACAAACGGAAATTGTATAAGTTTAACGCTTACATAAATGCGTATCTACATAACTAACGCATAATTGCTTACTCACGACGAATAATTATTTACTCTTTTCATGTTGTTGTTTGCTTTTTTAATTGCTTTACGCCAACCACTCCACTTGTCTTTCAGGTGACCTTTGCCGGCCGTTAAATTGCAAGAAGCGTGAAATTTGCCTACTGGAGGATGAGTATAGCGCAGTGTGTGTGTCCAAGCGTGACTTGCACAAGAATCGGTGAGTATGAAGGCGGAAGTAGACCCAGCTTAACTGGAACAAGAATAGTAATTAACAATAATTTTAAGAATACTAATATTATATATGTATATGCGTACTAAAGTTAATATTTTATAAATAAAGTTTATTTTTATACTTGAATGCGGGCAATTCCAACAAAAGAGCAACAATTACACGGACGGAGTCACTTCTGCACTTGTTCAAGAAGAGCTCAACACTTGTGTGACCTTGTGCTAAGAATACTTCATTAGTTTAGAAACATTTTAGGGACAGGGACTGGGAAGCAATTTAGAATATAAAAGACTCACGAGAACCAATTTAAAACCAATTTTACATCATTTTTCCTCAGTTAAAAGATAATTTCGATTTATTGGGACCCTCTAAAATGTCTCGGCTTTAATAATTTTAGAGTACTTACATAGTCGAAGTTCGAAGTAGCGGTTAATTTAGAACTATTTCATAATCATTTTAAAACCAACTTGGGTTCAGTTAGAAAATAATTCAAAACTTTCTTCGGAATCACTACTTTGAGGACGTTCAATTATCGAAAAGCTCTTCTGACAGCTGTTACTTCATTATGCCCATTCGGTGTGCCATATATAATGAACAGACTCACTCTGGAGCAAGGTTCGATTTGCGTGACACAACGCGTGCACCGTCCAACATCCAGCATTGAGCTGCGCCCATCCACTTTTTGAAAGGTTTTGTGGAAAGATCTTGGTTTGCGGCTATACGAAATCCGATTCGTTTAACAAATGAAGACCAGCGATCATCAACGTACGTTCGACGGGTTTAAAAAGAGAAGGAAAAACTCGATGTTCACAAAAAATATTTGGATACATTAATAAATCAAGTCATCGTATTTGGAATGATGACAATCCACAAGCCATTGTTAATCCTCAAAAAGTCACTATTTGCTGGGCTCCGCGGACAAAGGGAATCACATAAGCATATTTCTTCATAAATGAGGCCAGTCGTAACAGTCGATGGGGTACGCTATGGAGCCATGATTAATAACTTTGTCGTGCCTAAATGAACGTTCTTTGGTTAGAACGAGACGGCACGATAGATGCGATGCAGCCAGCGTGAGCATGTGGCGTGGCCTCCAAGGTTTCCGTGCGATTTCACATAGGAATTAAGTTGAATTTGCTAATTGTGTGCGCCCTTCGTTAGGGAATGTCCACTCCTTAGAGTTTATTTCGGACATGTAAGTAAGGCTCCTAGTGAAAAAACCATCAGCCGTTCGGCGACTGTTTAGTATAAACTGTAGGTCCCTGTCCCTGCTTGTCTGTGAAGTTGCTTGTTTATGAAGATAAGCTCGAGATAATTGACGCATTGGAAGGGAACAACCGGCGTATTATTGCTGTGATATGACCGCAATTACTTCGAAAAGAGGTCAAAGATTGAGCCTCTCGGCTGGAGTTTATTCGCTTGCCCAAAATCTTTTTTGAAACATAAAGGCAATTAAATATATTTTTAAAAAAGCGAATTTCTTGGCCATAATTATATGCCTTTTTATATATCCTTGAAAACCACTTGCCTAGAAATCACCAGTCATTATTTAGAACTGTTTAGGGTTATTTTAAAATCAAAATTTGAGGTTATGCTGGTAAAAGCTCCCTTTCGGTACTATTTTACTCATATGATGGCAGCTGTTCCTTAAATATTATTTCAATGCTTTCAATGTAAATTTAGGTCTTTGATCTGACATTTATGAGTCCTGCAGGACCATATAATGAATATCAACTACAGGACCCTCCAACTCTCTTTAGCCTTTTGGTAAATTCTTGGTAAAAAAAAATAAAATCTGCTGTAGGTAACATGTTGAAGGCAGTGCCAGTAAAGTGCTCCGAAATCGTAAGACCTGTAGATAAGCTATTAGTCTCATATGGAGGTACATGTAACTTAATGTGGCACATGGGCTTTACATAATGTAGGCCAGGCTCAGCAGCACAGCTTTTCTGGGACCACCCCAATAACCAAGGCAGCTTCCAACTCCAACTGAACACAAATTTCTCTATTATTGCTATTCGGCAAAAGCCTTAATGGAAAAAGTTTCTCGTAGACAGCCAAGGATACTTAAAGCAATAAAGTATGTCAGCACAAAACAAGAAATAACATTGAATATCACTTAGATCCTAGGTCAAACGGATGCAGTCACCATTGATTGTCTCAGACCTTTTAGAGTCTTCAATTTTTGTTTAAAAAAGTTGTTCATGAAGGAACAATTAAGATGTAGATTATAGTCAGACGAAAATGTTACTCATGTGGTGTATTGAAGACGCATCCACCACTTAAATATCGAGCTACACGTAAAGTAGGCCTAGAACAAAGTTGACGAAAAGTTGGGATACTACTTTTGTGAGTGTCCTGCCTTTAGCAAACTGAATAGTTTTGATGCGGCCGCTTGTGGTCGGGCCCTCAACCTGCCCTTTCAGCAAACCCATGGGTTTTCGCAATTTAACAAAGTGGTAATGAGCACATTTTTCATAGGACGAATAAAACAGAAAATATAATATAAAGATTTATATATACATGAATGTTTTTGTTGTTCAAAAGGGTGTATACTCGTATGATAATTTTATAACTTCACAAAATCGCAAAATGTTAAGACAACTTTTCTTAACAAGAAATTCTTAAGATAGGATAAGTGGAATTGCCCCTTCAAGTGTACATATTTGCTAAAATAAATTTTCAAAATATCCCCTAACCTGTGCACACACACACATATAAGCATCTTCAACCACTCTAAAATTCCAATTGGCTTATACACTACTATGAAATTAACTGAAGCATCTATCCTTTTCATAAAATCATCTTCAAAATCATCCTGCACTCGAGTCGCATAAGTGGGCACTTCTTCTACATAAAAAGTTTAATTATTTCTTTACCACACACCTTTATCCTTATTCTATGCGGCTATACATACATACCTATACATACATACCTATACATACATACTTATATATATATATATATATATATATATTTCAACCAAACCATTAATCTCTCGCTACCACTTACCTTTACTCATACCACTTTACAACCACAACACTTCAACGCTCCTACCCCTTTTCCTCTTCATCTCTCTCTCTCATCCCTCTCTTTCCCCTCGCGCCTCAAACCACTCACCTAACCAACTACTGTTGGCCATTGAACTAATTATTTTTATCTGCCTTATCTTTCGTCACCGACGATCTCTTTACATGCTCTTCTATGTGTGTGTGTGTGTGCGTCGTTGTAGTGATGAAATAATCACGAAAGCCAAATACTTGGAGGAAGAGGCGGCTAAACGGCGAGCCAGCAAGGATATTGCCAACAACAACATTAACATTAATAATAACAACAACAACGACAATGACAACGATGATGAAGATGCAAAGAATTTCAGCTCCGATGAGGATTCCCGTGAGGATGATGTCTTCTATGAGAACAACAACACCGCTGGCGGCGATAAGGACGACGAGGAGGATGAAGAGTGAGTAGAAAAATGAAACAGAAAAAAAAAAAAATTTTGAAATGAAATTAGTTGAAATTATCTATGAACGACTGGGTTGGCCGTCGCGTCGTTGGGATTAAAAATGAGATTTTTCACATTTCATTAATTAACATCAATGTTGAGTGGACGAATGGTTGGTTGAAAAGGGCTGAATTGAACGCTTGATTGAACCTATGAATGCATGGTTAGGCAGTTATAATAGGTGAGGTGCCATTATGTGATTGTGTGTGCGTCTCTTATTAAAGAGATTATTTATAGCGTGATAAATAGATTAGGTTATGTGTGTGTGTGTGTATGTGTGACTTGATGACACGTGTCTGTCACATTTTGGTTATTTTTTTTTTTGTGTAAGTGTTAAAGTTCGAATATAAAAATTATTTATATGTTTTTTTTTTTGTTTGTTTATAACGATGCGCTTATGTGTCATCGCTCTTTAAATGATCTCATCATCAACAATATCCCGTATGTCCTCTCAAAGTATGTTTGCTCTGCTCTTTGTGTATGAGTAAAGACGGGTAGGGGAAACACTGCTGTTAATGACAAACTCAACAGCTTTGGAATGCTCACTGCTTCGCTGTTCAGTCAAAAAGATTAAACGGCCTGCTAAAGAGGTCACTTATGGCACATTTATACATACATACACTTTTGTCAATATTTTTTTTTTGTCGCGGTAAAAATAAAAGCCACAGGAAGTACATACATTCGTGAATAAAGTGAACACTAATTGCGGCGGCGGGCTTTGGTGTAAGCCTCATCTCGGTTACGGTTCTTTTTTTTTCTTTTTAATTAAGCGAGGAGGATGAAGCGAAAATAAATCACAATAAACTAAGTGCATACATGATTATCGCAAAGTGAATAAGAGTAGTGGAAGTGAACTATTTTTGATTGAGATTAAAAAATCAGTAACTTTTCTTTCTCTAAAGTAGGTTCGGCCGCGAAAGGAGATTTTAATTTTCTTACTATCAACATCTCAGTACCTTTGAGTCTCTAAAGAAGTCGTACATTTTTTATTTACCATATTGGGTAAGGAATCGAACCGTCATGGTGTGGTATTGAATGAAGGTAGGACGAATTATCTGCAGTTTGATGACCAACAGGCATCGTAGTCGCCACCCGGATCCCACGCCACTGTTGACTGTCATAACTTTGAGCCCGTAAATAACTTCATCTATCTTGGAACCTCTAAAAGCACCATGAGCAATACCAACCTAGAAATCCAGCGAAGAATCACTCTTGCCAATAAGTGCCACTTGGACTGAGTAATCAATTAAAAAGTAAAATCTTACTTCGACGACAAAAACCAAACTCTATAAGTCGCTTTTCATTTCCATCTGGCCATATGGTGCGATTGCATGGACGATGACATATCTCCTTTAGTTGGCATTATAAGTTTTGAGAAAGATTTATGGGCCTTTGCGTGCTGAAAACGGCTAATACCGCAAAAGATGGACCTAAGAGTTGTACGAGATGTATGACGACGGTTACCCTGGCTAAGTCATGTGGTGCGATTGAACCAGAAGAAGGAGAAAGACCTTACTGTACTGGGTATTTCCGATTGGCTCCAAATAGAAAAAAGAAGGGACTAATTAATGGTAGCTCGCGCTCCCAGGTGCAGGTGTCCGTCCTAGAAACAGGAGAGTCTGCAGAGCTCAAGCTCTTTAACTTTCCAACCTTACGTCACTTCTTTAAAAAGATTCTCCTTAACAGCCTTACCGCTTCAGTGAGTGCAAATAATTTTACAGATTTCATTAAACATATTAATTGCTTTGATCAGCTCAAAAGGTGAGATGAAATTTCATGAGCCCAATAAATGGTATCAAATGTAGCTAATACATGTCTCAAATTTTATTCGATCATAATCAAATATTTAAAATGATCAAATTGTACGAACCAATAAACCTATGCGTTCGAAGTGCTTCAGATCGTGAGTTCAAACCCTGAAAAAAAGAAAATTACCCAATCTTCATTGGAGAGGTGGAAAATCGTTTTGTGAGATGCGGAATACTACCCGGAATCAAATTTATTAAAACCGATCGACTTCGTCGTGGCCCGAAGTATGGTCGGCTGCAGTACTAGATTATAACATAAGCAGTCGCCGGATAGAAGACGGAAGATATGTACTCAGTGTTCTAGCAGCAGAAGTAATGCTCGAAAATTCTATAAGAAATAGTAGCATGATCTTAGCATGTAGGACCTAAACAGGTCATCTAGGAAGTGATGTCCAGATCACACAGAATTTTTGCACATTGACATCATGGCTTCTGCTTTCTCCAGGCTGGATAAGAAAGCCAAGAGGATAAGTCTGAGAGTAAACGACGGTAAGAGAGTTTTCAAGGCATCACCCGCCGGTGAAAACAGTGGTAGAGGAAAAGCCGCTGGAGTTAGAACAAAAAGAGAGAGCTGTCAGCGGCCATACTACGAACTGGGAATGAATATGTATGTTTGTTATATATTCAATACAGAAAAATTTGCTTTGCTGGGATCATTTTATATACCAAGTTGGGTTACCCAAATTTAAAACTCCCGAAAAAAAATAGAACTCATGCCAGGTGGTGATGGTGATTGATTATGCAACACTTTTATATAGTCTGTGGGAAATAAAAAGTGCTCAAGCCGTCAGTTCAAGCGTGCCAGTAGATAAATATAAAATTTATTGTAACAACATACAAAAAATAAACAGTTATTTCATTTTTTGTATAAAATGGCATTGACACATAAACATAAACATATAAAGAAACTGTAAAATGGCATACGACATTTTATGTATGTGTGCATCATGCATGAGGGCACTATAATTTTGTATGCGTATGTGTTTGCATTCATGCTTATGTATGTATATGGACAAGTGAGTGAGAGAATACCGTTAACCATGCCGAAAAATATATGGATTCTCGCAGCCGGCTAACTGAATTTTATTTGAATTAGTTTTTTTTGTTTGGTGAAATAGAAATTCAATAGACCTAAATGAACTAGTTTTAAACTGGTATGAAGCTGATGCCTAGTAGGACAATCTTCAGCTCGTAGGATACCGCCATGTTGAAAATACTATTCGTTTACACTGAGAATAGATAGAAGAAAAATAGGTGGTGTAAAAATGTTGTTGGATTTTAGTTGACAAACTACAATAGTATTTTCCTCGGCGGGATAAATACACTAGTGATTGTATATATATGTATATATAAAAAATGCAGTTATTTGTCACTTAAAACGCATTCGTTATTGCATAGATATATATACATATGTATTCGGCTACAACTGAGTTTTTGCACGCATTTCGTTTCTCACACATTAATAGTTGCATAAATATGTTTCTATACGGATTTTATTGGTCATCTGTCAGGTTTATACAGTTTTACTTGCACTTTTATGACGCATTTAATGCCATTACATATATATGTATATATATATACTCAGTTATTTACATATAGCACGCGATAAAAACCAAATGCATATATGCACATACAAACATAGCATATATGTACAATAAGTGTAATGCCGAGAGTATTCACCGAATCACCTGCAATGCCGTCATCATCCCAAGCGTACGCCCTTCCCAACGTACACGTAATGTAGCTTTGGACATTTTTTTCCAGTTCACCACCAATGCCAGGAAAACAATAATAATAAAAGGAGGCTACCATGACAACAATCAACATAAAATTGCTATTTAAATGCTTTGGCACACACATAGCATGAGCAGTTGTGCTCTAGGGATGTCCGTATTTATGTGATTCGCATTGGAAAATTGGGCAAATAAACGTTTTAATATGCCGAACAAGGCTAAATCATCTCAACTCGTCATTCTGATCCGGTCGATAAAATTGCTGATGGATCTGTCATAATTTTGAATGTATAAGAAGTGAATTTCAGTGCAAGAATGTACAACGACCATCTCCGTAAAGTTCAATTATTTCGGAGAAACTATCTTGATCAAAATTTACTTCGCTTTGTGTTGCATGCACTTTGATCAATTTTGTATTTTCCATTTTGTTGGATGACCTTTCGCTATCTTTCCGGAAACATCATTATTCCACGCTCATGGAACTTCTGGTCTTTATCAGCAAAAAACTGAAAAGATTTTATAGCCTCCTCAAAATACACCGCGCTCTTCCAATCCCACCAAATGGATAACAAATCTTCTTTTGAAGTGGCGCTTCATCATGCTTGGGCCGTGATAGTTTTCGGTAGACGTTATATAAACAATCCATATTTCATCTCCAGTTATGATTTACTTCAGAAATGGATCATATTCCTTCATTCAAGCGGCTTGTTAAATACATTTCTTTCAATTCATATATACGATCCGATTCGATTAAAGCCCTGATATCGTCATTATCAAACTCACTTGGCCAACCTGAACATGGCATTTCTTTTACTGAATATTTTCCCGCACGGAATTTGACTAACCAGCTTCGGCATTGTGGGCTCCATATTCAAATTGACGCCTAAGAAACAAATATAAACAAAATTACGTGTACTTTTTTCTAAAGCAAGTTAAAAGTGACAGCTTAAGTAGTCACAAGCTGTCCAAAAAATAATCAGCGCCGTCTTTATCCACAAACTTCTTCCTATTCTCATTGGGAACCAGCGATGTCTTACGAAGTGTTCATTGATTAGCGAGGCCATTGGACAAGGCATAACCGTATGTAAGTGGAAAATACTACAAACATGACGATAAAGGATACCCCTAATGTTGCTGTAAAAACTATACAATGTTTTGTGGCTGTGACTTTTTAAAGCCGCAATAACGCAAAGTATGAATATTTATCGTTTTTTTTAATAGGCTGTGTTTGCGTGCGCGGCTTTGTTAATTTTGGGCTTCCTTTTGGCAAACAAAAACCTGTGCAGAGCTACGGCCATTGTTTTGCAATACCAGTAGATACAAATGATTTTGCGTGTGTCTGTGCCTTCCTGCGACTTGCTCACGAACCTTATCGTGTCTGACCTAAGCCCAAATAGCGACCTAGCACGCGATTACA